TGTAATCTTTATAGAAGCAGATAGGCCTTTCTCCCACAACACTGTGTGGTGGCTTCCAATGCTAACCTTTAGGCTAGTAAACATGTATAAACCATTTTCACTACTCAGGTTCTTTGAAACCGATCAATGGTGCAAAAATGATATATTATCCGTAATGTGTTATAACTAGATGTTATCGGAGGATCATAATGTGAACTATAGTATCAGGAGTTTTACATTAAAGGAGCATTCACATCTATTGTTTTAATAAAAATTTCAGAAACTATATATCCTTACATGTTGATATTGGAAAACTCTATAGAGTGCTTCTACTCTATGACAAAGGTAGCTGTATTGAGTAAGAATTGACTCAATGGCAGCAGGTTTTGCTTTATTAAGGTTTGGAGGTCAAGTATTCAACACAATGGTTCTTAACTAATGCACAAATATTATAAACAGAAAAATATAATGCTCATTACACTGATTTTTTTCAAGGATTCAAAAAAGGACTGAACTACTTACCTAAGCATTTTGGTGGTTCTGACCACTCTCCATTCACACATGTTATATGTCTGTTACCCTGAAGTTCATAGAAGGCCTGGCACTGGTACTCCACTGATGTTCCTTGAGCATATACAGGTGCTGGGAATGAAGTCAAGTCCCCATTTTCAATAGCTGGAGGGGGCTCACATTTTCCCTCAGAATCTAAAAAATATATATAATATTTGATTGATTGAGAGGTCAAACCAACACACAGATTAAGTTGAGTCTAATACAAAGTAAACATAATATGTAATATCAAGACTTGTGTGATTTCTGAGAAAAGAAATGATTCATGGAAGGAATCCTAATCACATAAATTGAGAACTACAACCTTTCCAGTTCTTCCTTTTATCCTATCTGAGAACACTAATAAATATATCCTCCTTCCAGTGTTGCTGTAGACATTATTTTATTCATGAATATATTCTGGAAAATGGATAGTTAAGATAAATAAAGTTTTCTTTTTGTTATATAATACATTGCAATATCTATTATATCTCTACCCTTTTTAAAATTTTTATTACAAAGGAAACATCAACTTCCTGCAAATATTCAAAGAATAAACTTAGTTGTATTTCTACTAGGTGTAGCTAAAAATTCTGGATGCATTATATAAAACTAAAGGAAAAGAGGTCTGAAAGGTGAAGGAAGAACTGGGACCATGGGACTCAAGGAACTATGTGGGGGTGAGTTATTTGGTTGTCTTTTTGCTTCCTGTATACCCTCAACTGGGCACTGAAGAAATCTTCAACCCAAAACTAATATCTAGTTTAGAGAAAATAGTTCTTAAAAGAGCCTACCCTCTCTAACCAAAGGCTCTGGAAGGCAGCAGCCTTACAAGGTAGAAATCTTAACAATATGCAACTAACTCTAGAAATCACAATGATGTTGTTGTTATGTGCTATAGAGTTGGACCGACTCATAGCGACCCCTCCTTGGGTTGCTGCACCAGTATCACTATGGAAGTAGATTGCCCAACCTTCCTTCTGAGGAGTGGCTGGTGGGTTTGAACCACCAGCTTTCTGGTTAGCAGTCAAATGCCTTAGGCACTATGCTACCAGAGCTTCCAGAAATCACAATAGAAGAAATAAAAACGTGTTTTTCCTCCACATGGCATACTGCCTATGGCATCTGGCTAACCAGAAGGCTGGTGGTTCTAACCCACCAGCCACTCCTCAGAAGGAGGGTTGGGCAATCTACTTTAGTAGAGATGCCACCAGGGAAACCCAAGGAGGGGTCAGTCACTATGAGTCCAATCCAACACAATGGTGGTGAGTTTTTTTTTTTTTTTTTTTCATCCCACGGGATCATCAGGGCTGAGTGAGGGGCCTAGACTTCCACCCATGTGGTGATATAACAAGAACCTGTCCCCTATCCTCTTTCCACAGGACCAGCAAGGCCAAGCTGTGGCCTGGTTTGTACCTGGCATGGAAGTCAGTTAAAATATCATACATTAAATAAAATTCAGAGTTTCAAAACTTAATACCCAAAATATACAGAGTATTATTGACAATCATCAAGAATGAGTAAAATCTCAAAAAAAAAAAAGACAATCAATAGATGCCAACACTGAGATTACTCGGATGTTGAGATAATTTGACAATGATGGCTAGAACCCAATGGAGAATATGGAACTGGAAATAAAATTTTAAAAAATCATTTATGATCTTAATTATAGAATGGAGATAACAGAAGAATTAATCTAAAACTTGATGATAAAAAAAATGGATATTAACCAATCTGAAAACAAACAGAACAAATAGAATTTCAGGTTTCTCTGGTAAAATTAAAAAAAAAAAATGTGGAGTTCAATAAAGATAGAAGAATGTAAAGCTAAAAAACAATAATTAAAAATATAATGGCAGAAAATTTCCCAAAGTGGTCAGAAAAAATAATCCTGTGTGTTTAAAGAGCTGTACAAATCCAAAGACAAACCCAGAGAAATTTGTGTACACACATCATAATCAAATGTCTGAAAAGTAATGTAAAAGAAAAAAAGATGCTAAAAATTATGTATTACCTACAGGGGAACAAGGATTCAAATGACTGGGTTTCACATTCGAAATACATGGAGGTCAGAAGGAAGTGATAACATTTTTCAAAATCTGAAAGAAAAGAGCTGTCTCCTGCAATTTCTATATGTAGAAATACCATCCTTAGTAATAATAGGGAAATTAAGTCACTTTCAAGCAACGGAAAAGTAAGAGAATTTGCCTCCAGCAGATCCATCCTTATGGATGACTAAATTAATATTTTCAAATAGAAAAGAAATAATAATAGAAGGAGAAGTGAGACTTCAGGAAAGAAGAAAGAAAATGGAATAGATTGAAAATAATATGGGTAAATCTAATAGACTATCTTTCTCCTCATGAGTTTGTTGAATTTGTTTGACTGTAGAAACAAAATTAAGTCCTCTGATATGGTGACCTGTGTATGTAGAGGAAGTACTTAAGACATTTCTATTTAAAGCAAGGTTAGGAAAATGGAGTAACTGGGTAAATCGGAAGTGAAGGTTAGAGACTTTACTTGAAATAGTACAACAGCCATACAAATAGACAGTAAGTAACTTATGTATATTGTATTGCTGAGCACAACCACTAGATAAAATGAATGTACAAAAAGATATACCAAAAGGCAGTATAGATAAATCAAAATGAAATTCTTCAAAATATTCAAGAAACCTACAAAGAAGGTAAGAAAATGGAAACAGGAATGAGAAACAGGAAATACACACAAAACAAACAATAAAAAGCCCAATAGAAGCCCTCACATAACAAAAGTTACATTAAATGTAACTGGTGTAAATACACCAGTTAAAAGACCAAGAAAAACTGGGTGAATAAGAACAAGACACAATAATATCCTGTCTATAATAACTCATTTCAAAACTAAAAACATAGGTAGGTTCAAAGTTGTTGTTGTTCTATGCCTTCAACTCAGTTCTGAGTCATTACCATATGGAAAAGAGAATGAAACCCTACCCAGTCCTGCACCATCCTCAAAATCATTGCAACGTTGTAGCCCATTATTGCAACCACTGTCCATCTATTGTGTAGAGGATCTTCTTTTAGCTAACCCTCTACTTTACCAACCATGATGTCCTTTTCTAGGCACTGGACCATCCTAATAACATGTCCAAAGTAGGTGATTCTGAGTCTCACCATCTTCACTTCTAAGGAGCATTCTGGCTGTACTTCCAAGACAGATTAGTTCATTCTTCTGTCTGTCCATGGTATATTCAATATTCTTCACCATAACCATTATTCAAAGCATGAACTCTTCTTTGTTTTTTTCCTTGTTCATTTACCAGGTTGCACATGCATATGAGATGATTGAAAAATACCATTCCTTGGGTCAGGCACACCTTGGTCATGTCAAGGTCATGTCTTCCTTTTTAACACTTCAAAGAAATCTTTTGCATAATATTTGCCCAATGCAATAAATACATCATTTGATTTCTACACTGTTGCATTCATGGACATTAATTGTGGATCCAAATGAAATAAAATCCTTGAAAACTTCAGTCTTTTCTCCATTTGTCATAATGTTGCCTATTGGTCCAGTTTTGAGAGGTTTTGTTTCTTTATGTGGAGGTGTAATCCAAACTGAAGGTGGTAGTCTTTAATCTTCATTGGTAAGTAGTGCAAGTACTCTCTATTTTCAGCAAAGAAGGTTTGTCATCTGCATATCACAGGTTGTTAATGATTTTTCCTCTAATCCTGTGCCACATTCTTCTTCATATAGTCCTTCTATCAGATTATTTGCTCAGCATACTGATATAATAACAATAATTAAAGGATACAAGTCTGACACATAACTTTCCTGATTTTAAACCATGCAACATCCCCTTGTTCTGTTCAAAGAACAGCATTTTGTTTTACTTACATGTTCCTTATAAGCACAATTAACTGTTCTGGAATTCCCATTGTTCTCCATGTTATTTGTAATTTGCTATAATCCACATAGTCAAATGTTTTGCATAGTCAGTAAAACACAAGTAAACATCTTTCTAGTACTCTTTTCTTTCAGGCAAGATTCATCTGACATCACTAATTGCATATCCATTTAAAACCACCCATACCATGCCCTTTTTTGAATCTGCCTTGAATTTCTGGCAGTTCCTTTTCAAAGTACTGCTGCAATCGTTTTTAAATTACTTTAAGCAAAGGTTACTTGTGTGTGAAATTAATGGCATTGTTCCATAATTTCTGAATTGTTTTGGTTCACTTTTATTTGGAGTCGGCAAAAATACGGATATTTTCCAATCAATTGGCCAGGTAGCCGTCTTTCAATTTTCTTGTTACACAAGAGAGAATTTCCTGCTTTGTTTCTTATGTTGAAACATCTTGATTTATAATTTGTCAGTTCCTAGAGTCTGTTTTTCACCAGTTCCTTCAGTTCAGCTTGGACTGCTTCCTTCACTATCATCAATTCTTGATCATATGCTACCTCCTGAAAAGGTAAAAAAATAAAGAAAGAAACTAAATCTTTTTAGTACTGTGACTCTATGTATTCCTTCCATAATGTTTTGATTCTTACTGTGTCATTCAGTACTTTGCCCATAGTGTCCTTCAATATCGCAACTCAAGCCTGGATTTTTTTTCTTCAGTTCTTTCAGCTACAAAAAAGCTACCCGTGCTTTTCCCTTTTCATTTTCTAACTCCAGGTCTTTGCACATTTCATTATAATACTTTACTTTGTCTTCTCTTGCGCCCTTTGAAATCTTCTATTCAGCTCTTTTCCTTCATCATTTCTTCCTTTTGCTCTACTTACTTTATGTTCAAGGGCAAGTTTCACAGTCACTTCTGACATCCATTTTCATATTTTCCTGTCTTTTAAATAATCTTTTCCTTTCTTTATGTATGATGTTCTTGACATCATTTAACAACTTATCTGGTCTTCAGTCATTAGTGTTCATTGCATCATATTTATTTTTGAGATGGTCTCTAAATTCAGATGGGACATACTCAAGGTCATACTTTGGCTCTCTTGGACTATTTTATTATTATTATTATTTTAATCTTCAACTTGAACTTGCATATAGTCATTGTGGTCTGTTGCACAGTTACTCCCTGACCTTGTTCTGACTGATGATATTGAGTTGCTCCATCATCTCTTTGCACAGATGTAGCCCTGTGTATTCCACTCAGTTAAAATGGGGGTGGGGGTGGGGAATCAGCCAAATGTTATTAAAATAAATAAAGAAATGATCTCCATTACCGACCCCTCTTATCTTATAACATCTAGCTGTTTGCCATGGTCATGACTAAATTCTCAGACTTCTGTTCCTGGAAACACTTATTTCCTAAATAAGCTCAGTTGGTGTGGTAGTTAAAGTTATGTGTTAACTTGGCTGGGCCATGGTTTTGAGTGGCTGGTCAGTTGGATGTAATATTCCCCATGATAAGACTGTAATCACCTCCACAGTAGAATCATCTGTGATCAGCTAAGTTGCTGTCTTTGAAGTGTGGTCTGCTTTCAGTACATAAGGAGAAGCTTTGAGAAAGATCTCTAGTTTTGGCACATTTGCGTCCTGCATTTATCTGAATCTCAGTGACCTGCCATGTTGCCTGTTGATTCCTGGAACTCAACTAGAGGCCTGTCATATTATCTGCTAATCTTGGGACTGTGTTATTTCACCTGTTGGTCTTGCATTCATCAGCCTCAGTAGCCAGTAGTTGTGTGAGTCAGAAAAAGCCTCCAGCTCTAGTGGGTCTGGAACAGGAGGCAGAGCTGAAGCTCTAGGTCTAGTGGCCTTTACCCAGCCCCTAGACATGGTGCTTTGAACTTGGACTTCTAGCTTCCTAAACTATAAAAGAATAAACCCCCATTTTTCAAAGGCATCCATTTGTAGTATTTCGATTATAGCAGCACTAGAGAATCAATACAGTTAGACATATACTTTTAATTATAATCTACCCACTGAAGATGTCCAAATTTGTGTCATATTCTGCATTCACTACCCATCTGTCTATTCCACTTCTCCTGGAACTGTCAAACTTACATGATGTATGTTTTACACATTTATTCTTCAGGAAATAACTCAGGATCTTCCTGCTAAAGATAAGAGTTCAACTATTCTTTAATAGGGTCAAGACTTTTGTAGTTCAAATCAACCATATTACCTGGCTCAGTGTAGAAAAAGAATTAGGTTTTTTACATTATAATTTTATTTATATTTGAAATAATATATTCTACAAGCACTATTTTACTATATGCTTTGATCAAAACGTATCACCACTATTATCTCTTCACAAATTTTCAGGAAAAAAGATATTCTACCTTTGCACTGAGGTGGTTCTGTCCAGGTTCCACTCATACACATAACTTCTGACTCTCCATACAGGTAGTAAGTCTCATTACATTCATAACGTACTCTCTCTTCATGTGGATACCTAGTCATCTGTTCTGAGATAATTTTAGCATTTTTCACTATGGGTGGATTCCCACAGGAAATATCTAAATAGAAAGAAAAGATAAAAAGTGTCCTATAAGTGTTCATTTTGAGTTCCAAATCAATAAATGAGATTCTAAGTATATTTCAAGGCAGGTCTAACATCAGTAAACTATTTATTATGATAAAGTTTGCTAATATAAAGAATTTACATGTAAGACTGAGGAAAACAAGTTTAAAAATATACAGCAACATTATGTTTTCATGTGCTTAAATCTCTAATCTATGTTCACTAGAAGACACACTGTTTTCTTTCCTTTTGAAACTAGTGAAAATGAGAGTTGTCATGGACTATCTTAGAATTTAGTAACATTGCTATCATATATTATAAATCCCATATGAATTTAGAAACCATAAAAATCAGAAAAAAAGACATATATGACATCAGATTTTGATTTGCATTTATTGTTTTTGATTAAAATTTTAGCCCCTTAGAAAAATATCATAGATATGAACTTACTTAAAGAACAAATCAAGAATTAAGAGCACACTTTGAATAATACCAAAATTAAAGAGGAAGATGATTAACTGAAAGTATGCAAAAAAGGAGATGCAAGAAAATAATGGAATATGAATTTATAATTCATGAAAACAACTGTATTGATTTTATTTGGCAAATGCTTAAATAATAACACACAATTTTTCAGGGTTTCATGTAGATGTGAAGCAATTGTAGCTGTGGTTCCCGAACAGAAGTGTGCACAAAATTTCTGTATCAAAAACAAAAACACCAGGTACTGTGCAGTAGGTACTCTCTCAGTGATACTATAGGACAGAGTAGAATTGCTCCATAGGCTTTCCAAGGATATCACCTTTTTGGAAGCAGACTGCCAGATCTTCCTCCTGGACAGCTAGGGAGTGTTGAACCTCTGATGATAAGCCTAGCAGCTGAGCTCTTACCCACTGCCTCACCAAGGCTCCTTATAATAGTCTGTGGGCTTGTTAAAACACCTTCAGTGTCCCTCCCCCAGAGTTTCTGATCCAGTAGGTGTGGGATGAACCCATAAATTTGTATGTTTAAGAATTTCCCAGTAAACACTGATGGTGTTATCTCAGGGACAGTCTTTGAGAACTGTTGGACTGTAAGTTTAACCAATACCTCTTATCTATGCCTATCTTTTAAAGGTGCTAGAGACAAAGAATTCTATATGTTATTGTCTGCGATACTGTTAAAAGTAAAATTTTAAATTTAATCAAAATACCTTTGCATATTGGACTTCCTACCCATTTGCTCTTGAAACACTTTACAATATTTGAGCCCTCTAATTGGAAACTTTTTTCACATTCATACTCCACTTGTTCTCCTGACTTATATGATTCTTTCTTCGGGTTTTTGAGTATAGCATTAGGAAATGTGGGTAATTTAAAGCAATCTGTATCTGAAAGAAAAGGAATGCACATTTGTTTAGTAAATCTTTGAAATATATTATATCCAATCATTATATTCTAAAATAATAATTAGCTATCTATCAAACTGAAGAATACTGTACAATACTTTTCTTACACTGTGGAAAAATAATTTTTTATACAGTCATGAGATAATCTCATTGAACTGTTCTACTTTCATCAAAGGCACAAGGTAGGCATGGCAATGGTGGAGCCTAAAGTTGTATGGGTAGACATAAGGCTTGGGATCATACTTCCTTCTTTCAAATTTATTCTAGTCATATATGTCCTGTATATGTGTCTATTGTACTCTTTTTGCTACTGTTAAAATCTAAGTTACATGCAATTATTTAAAATGTTTTGGAAAATTATATATTTAATGGAAAATAATTGATAAACTGACAGCAGAATGAAGGATGATTAGATGGATGAGTAGGGATCAGTTAGGTTTCAGATACAGAGATGAGAAGTCTGAAAATAAAGATCAGAGGATGCCACAAACGCATGCAAGAGGACTTGAAAAGGAGATAATTGGGCCCACTGGGTTTAAGATTTCTTCTTCTTAATCCAGAATCCCAGGAATTTCTGGAGATAAATTGTTAAATTCTACAATTACTGCTGGTTAGTACTGTTTATACTTTGAATAAAAGATGTTTATCATCTATGGAATAAAACAAAATATATTTTTAATTAAAATACTTTTAAATGTATACTTTTGCACACTGGTGGGGGAGGCCATTTTCCTGCAAAACATTTTATAGATTCAGGTCCATCGATGCCAAAACCGTGAGTACAGTTGTATGTCACTTCTTCTCCATGTTGGTAGGTGTCTGACTCATGAGATACAACACCGTGAAAAATTGAAGGTGGTGGCTTACAAGGCAATCCTTAAAAAACAATGGAAGAATGCATTCATGTTTCATTTATTCTGAAATTTAATTTTATGTACTAGTCTCCTATTTAGTCACTTCATTTGAAAAGTAATGAAAACACAGGAGTTAGTTTCCCACCAAAAAGAAGATACACAAACAATGTCCGAAGTCACCATTCTGCTGTCTGTCACAACCTAAGCAAGAACTTAGGACTTAAATGTCAATGCATTTATGAATGATATAGTCATTGCTTCTCTAGCCAGTCATGAGTGTTAAAGTGAAATATATTGAGGATGACTGATCCTAAAAAGTCAGAAGGAACATTGTATGAAACATACTTAAATAAATTAAAGTGACAGCTGGCAAAACAAACACTGTAACTTATATAAATATAAGTTAATTACACTATGCATCACATTTTAAGACAAACTAAATGCCAGAGTTTAAAGTGTTTCTATGATGAGCCAACAAAATCAACAAAAATATGATTGATTTGATTATGCAAAAATTATTTCAAGGTAAGATACATAAACAGCTATAGATGTACATCTAAATTATGTTGTCTTATGACTTTGATCAGAACCAATTATTTTCAATAAATTTTACAAAATGGTTTGTTCATAAACCTTTACCTTCACACTGAGGTGGCGAACTCCATTTTCCCATGTAGCATGTTATACCACCATCGTCAGAGTGCATGAACCCCTCTTCACAGACATAAGTTATTTTAGTGCCATGTGGGTAGCTACTGGGTTTGGATGTTTCTTTCCTTTCTTCTAAAGATCTAGATGAGTTAATTGTTCCATGTTCAATAGGAGGTGGTGAAGAACAGGGGAGTTTTTCTATATGAAGAGAGATCAATATATCAAGCACAAATACAATGTCTAAATGGAAAAATAAATCAAATACTATTTGGAATTATAAAGAAAGGTAATTAAAATAGATAATATTGTTTAAAAATGGAACAAATATCTGGAACTTGCAAGGATATATATCATCACAGTATATATGCTACCATCTCTTGTTAAATATCCCCCTTCATTCTTGTCTTGGTCATCATAAGAGATAAAATAATAAAAAAAAAAAAAAATCTGGTATTTAGATCATATCCCTAAATCTGTATTTATATCACAGAATAAATTAATTTGGACCTATGTATTTTAATATATTGTTTTATATAAAGAGTAACAGACACAAAAAAAATGTCTTTATATTGTTCAGTCATGCAAAGCACAGTAGAGAATTAACCTCATTTGAAAGAATGTTCTAAAGCATGTTATGAACTACTAACCGACACAACGTGGTATTGACTGCCATCTTCCATCTTTGCACATGATTTCATCTGCTTCCTGAATTATGTAATTTTCTTTGCAGAGAATAGATATTTTTTCTCCATCCTGATAATTCACTGTCACTGTCATGCTTTCAGAATTAGGAATTTGAGGTGGAGGTGGGCAAAATTTTTTTTGTGCTATTAAAATATAAGTACATTTCTTGATTAAAATATGGTAAATTAAAAATATAAAAAGGATGATTTTAATACATAGCATATTCGGTACCCGTGTCTCTTAAATGATCATATAATAGTTATTATGTTCTATATTTATATATGTAATAATTTGTAACTTTGTAACACCTTAGTATTATCATTTTTGGTTTATATTGTTACAGTTGCTCTTCTACCTTTTTCCTTTTATCCTGTGATCAATCTTATATAATTTATGTAAAGCCTATTTTAATTATTTCCAGCCATCTCAATGTTTTAACTGGATTCAACATTCTTAACAATGGGCATTATCAGGGTCTTCTTTTTACAGATATCCAAGATCAAATATATAGACATTGAATTAAAACCCTTACAAGATGTTCTGCCAGGGGAAGATGATAAGCCACAGGAAGAATTAATTAGCAATCAATTCATCTGGTTCTGAGTCTTGAGCAAGACTAAGAATTAAATATCTTTTTTAGTGAATTATAATCTTCTGTTTAAAAAGTGGATTTCACCTGGAGGTACCATTTATAGCTTGTTTACACTATTTAGAAATGTATAGACTGAGGATATGCACCTATTTTAACAGATTACGTCCCCTGACTTTGACCACATGATGAACAGTGTATAAAATATCCATCTATAAACTTGTGTCTGAGCTCCCCTGATCCTAAGACACATCAGATATATCTTGTGGGTTTATAATCTGATGAGGTGTGCCCTGTTTGACTGAAAGTAGAATCTGGAAGTCTGTATTTGAGAGATTTTGGACTTCTCTCTAACTCCCAAATTTTGCTTTTTCCTTTGTACTGCATGCTTTACTTGATTAAAGACTCAAGCAATTTCACTCTGGGAAGTCTTGTGAATCCTGTCAGTTGTTCAGCTTTTTGTCATCCATCAAGAAGAGTTGACCCAATATACTTCAGGAATGATAATTAATAACTTCAGGTTTTCTGTTTCTTCCTAAGTCAATATGAGTATTTTATAGTTGAGAAAATGATTTTTGTCTCATTTCTGTTTTTATATTTGTTTGAATAAATTTTCAATATGTTCCTATGGGTTTGTTTTCTTCTATGTCGGGTATTTATAAAGTTTTTTTTTTTTTTTAAATCCATGTAACTTTAATTCATGCTTTCTTTTCATCCAGCCAGAGTTTTATCTATTTAACATATTTTCCAAAAAGCTGGACTAAAAATTTATATATGCATCATATATATGGATTTTTTAACTTCTTATATAATGTATGCTTTAGTTACCCTTTCTTTTAAGGTTTTCAGGTGTATATTCTTTTCTACCTTCTTATTGTAATATCTATTGCTTTTATTTTGTTTCTTGTTTGATGATTGATATTTAAAAACTAAAATATATTATTTTTTGCTTTTGCTATATCCAATGTACTCACCAGCCACTCCTTGGAAGGAAGGTTGGGCAATCTACTTCCCTAGTGCTACTGTCTCGGCAACCCAAGGAGGGATCGCTATGAGTCGGGCCCGACTTGACAGCACATAACAGCAACAACATATTCAATGTATAACACCATCATTGAAATTTTATGGTAGTATTTTAAGACATTATGTCATCAACATTGTGAAATGGTGAATGAATCAAGTGTGTAGCTAGCTCTCTATTTTATGTTGGACTTAGGGAGAAGAGTTTGAGGACGTTGATTCTTCGGATTTGTTGAGGCTTCTTTATCACATGAAAAGGGTTAATTGTTTAAAATAACTTAGCTGTATTAAAATCAGCAAATGTATACTTCAAGACAAGGAGTATATAAAACTGTAATGAAATATTTTATAATCATAGAATGGCTAATTTACAAGATCAAAATGATCATAAATATGCACCTATCTAAAAATATGAAAATACATGAAGCAAAAATGAACAGAATTAAAGAAGTAGTCAAATTCATGTTCCTAGTAACTAACGTCACCATTGTGTTTCAGTTTTTTATACTGTGGTGGCTTGTGTATTGCTGTAAGTGGAAAGCTATGCCACTGGTATTCCAAAAGCCAACAGTCCCCTACAGGGGGCAGGTTTCAGTGGATCTTCCAGACCAAGACAAACTAGGAAGAAAGATGTCACAGGCTACTTTTGAAAAAGAAAAATAGCCACTGAAATGTTTTTGAACAGCCCTGAAACATTGTCTGATATAGTGCTAGAAAATGAGCCTCTCAAGTAGAAAGGTACTCAAAATACAACTCCTCAAAGTAGAGTTGACTTTAATGACAAGGATGGAGTAAAGCTTTCATTTGTTGATGTGGCAACACATAAAATGAGAAGAAACAGCTGCAAAATTTCATTAATAATTGGTACATGGAATGTACAGATTATGAATCTAGGAAAATTAAAAGTTGTCAAAATGAAATGGAATGCATAAAGATCAATATCCTAGGCACTGTGAGCTGAAATGGACTGGTATTAGCCTTTTTGAATTGGACAGTCATGTGGTCTATTATGCTAGGAAAGTGGAATGATGTCACATTCATCATCAAAAATACTATTTCAGGATCTATTCTGAAGTACTATGCTGTGATAAGACAATATTGATACAAATATCCACACACCTACAAGAAAGACCAGTTAATGTGACTATTATTCAAATTTATGCCCTAATCACTGAAGCTAAAAATGAAGACATTTAAGATTTTTTAACAAACTTCTACACTCTGAAATTGACAAATTGTGCAATCAAAATGTATTGATAATTATTAGTGATTGGTATGTGAAAGCTGGAAACAAAGAAGCAGCTTTGGTAGTAGGAAAATATAGTCTTTGTGACAGAAGTGATGCATAATAGAATTTTCTATGCCCAATGTCCTATTCACTGTCAATACATTTTTAAACAACACAAATGGTGACTATATACTTGAAATTCACAAGATAAAATACACAAGAATGAAATCAACTACATCTGTGGAAAATGAAGATGGAGAAGCTCAATATCATCAATAAGAAAAAGGCCAGAGGCTTGCCCATTTAAGTTGAAGCCAAAGAAAATTAAAACAAGCCCATGAGAGCCAAAATATGACCTTGAGTATATCCCATCAGAATTTAGAGGCCTTTTGAAGAGTAGCACTGGACACCAGTTCAGTGACCGAAGACCAGACAAGTTGTGGGATGACACCAAGGATAGCATACATGAAGAAAGGAAAGAGTCATTTAAAAGTCAGGAATATATATAGGTTTGACAGAGTCTATCTCTACATATGTATGTGCTGCAAATATACCTGTGAATATAGTGGAGCAAACAGGGGACAGGACAGTGTTATGAAAATATCTTCATCATAACATCAACAGCAAAAAAAAAAAAAACAGGAAAAAAAAAAGACCAAAATGAATATCCAAAGATACTCTGAAACTTGCTCTTCAACATAGAGTAGCTTAACAAAGTGTACAAATAATGAAGTAAAAATCAAGAACGGATGATATTGACAGAAACAGCATAAGCTGCACTGAAGGCATGGGAGAAAAACCAGGCTCCAGGAATTGACTGACCAGCTGAGACAACAAGCAGACCGCACTTTAAGTGCTCACTTGTCTATGACAAGAACTTTGGAAAACAGCTACTTGGCCAACCTCTGTAAGAGATCCGTATCTGTGGCCATTCCAAAGAAAGGTGATCCAATAGAATGTGGAAATTATAAAACAATATCATTAATACACTACACAAGAAAAATTTTGCTGAAAAGAATTCAATAACCAATTTTTTACTGAAAATAATTCAGTAACTGTTACAACAGTACATTGACAGTGAACTGTCAGAAATTCAAGGCAGATTCAGAAAAGGATGTGTAATGAGGTATATCATTGCTGATGTTGAATAGTTCTTGGCTGAAAGCAAAGAATATCATAAAGATGTTTACTTATGTTTTATTGACTATGCTAAGGCATTCAATTGTGTGCATCATGAAAAATTATGGGTAACATTGTGAAGAAAAGGAATTCCAGAACACCTAATTATGCTCATATGGAACCTGTACATAGATCAAGAGGAAATCTTTCAAATGTAATTAGGGGATACTGCATGGTTTGAAATCAGAAATGGTGTGTATCAGGGTTATATTTTTTCAGCATATTTATTCAATCTCTATGCTGAGCAAATAATCTGAGAAAATGGACTATGTGAAGAATAACGTAGTGTCAGGATTGGGGGAAGATTCATTAACAACCAGGGATATGCAGATGACAATACCTTGCTTGCCAAAAGCAAAGAGGGCTTGAAAGGCTTGCTGGTGAAGATCTAAGACTACAGTCTTCAGTATGGATTAAATATCAACATAAAGAAAACAACAATCTTCACACCTGAACCAATAAGTGATATCATGATAAATGGAGAAAAGATTGAAGTTGTCAAGGATTTCATTTTACTTGGATCCACAGTGAATATCCACGGATGCAGCAGTCAAGAAATCAAATTACTTACTGCATTGTGCAAACATGCTACAAAAGAAGACTACAAAGTGTTAATGTTTTAGAGAGTAAACACATCATTTTTAATGCTAAGCTGTGCCTGACGCAGCCAGGATATTTCCAAATACCTCATATACAAACAAATATTGGCTACCACAATGGCTCAAACATATTTTGTTTGTGAGAATGACACTAGACCAGGCAGTGTTTCTTTGTGCTGTAAATAGGATTGCTCTGAGTAGGAACCAACATAACAGCAACTAACAACAACATTTAGCAATACTTTTACTGTGAATAATGGAATAACTAGATTAGGAAAACAAGAAAGGCATACATCAATTTGAAGAACACCAAATCACTTTAACCTAATTCAACAATAACCATCATCACCAAGGTAGACAACATGCTGTGCAACAAAACAGTATGAACTGTTTCAAAATATGGAAATCATA